TTTATAGTTAGGTCGGAAGTTGGAGAGAGACAGATAGCTTGCTAGGTTGAGGAAGAGGTCCTTGGTGGGTTGAGTCCTGCACACTGCCTGCTCTGCTTGGGTAGATCTGAAAATAGACTGATATGTCCAATGAGAGAGGATCTGTTTAAATTCAGCATGAGGTACATCTGAGATTATCTCCCTTCACGTTCACTTGAGGGCACTGCGCACGTGTGTAGGGAGATGGGTGTACTTTTATGTTTCTGTTGCCACTGGTGATACTGCTATGTTCTCGAACTCTTCTGATCTAGGACTCTGGAAACTGATCACCTGCTGCTGTTGTACGAGCTGTTGCACTTAACAGCTACAAACAAGTAGTCGGCGTCTGTGTCTTTTCGTAAAGCCGGGGTGCCGGGTTCGTTCCCAACGGCATGCGATGTTGCAGCAGAACGTCTTGCATTTGTTTTGACAGTGGTACTGAGAGATGACCGTTCAGTGTCAGTGGTACTGAGAAATGACCGTTCAGTGACAGTGGTACTGAGAGATGACCGTTCAGTGTCAGTGGTACTGAGAGATGACCGTTCAGTGACAGTGGTACTGAGAGAAGACCGTTCAGTGGCAGTGGTACTGAGAGATGACCGTTCAGTGTCAGTGGTACTGAGAGATGACCGTTCAGTGTCAGTGGTACTGAGAGATGACCGTTCAGTGACAGTGGTACTGAGAGATGACCGTTCAGTGTCAGTGGTACTGAGAGATGACCGTTCAGTGACAGTGATACTGAGAGATGACCGTTCAGTGGCAGTGGTACTGAGAGATGACCGTTCAATGTCAGTGGTACTGAGAGATGACCGTTCAGTGTCAGTGGTACTGAGAGATGACCGTTCAGTGACAGTGGTACTGAGAGATGACCGTTCAGTGGCAGCTGTACTGAGAGATGACCGTTCAATGGCAGTGGTACTGAGAGATGACCGTTCAGTGTCAGTGGTACTGAGAGATGACCGTTCAGTGGCAGTGGTACTGATAGATGACCGTTCAGTGGCAGTGGTACTGAGAGATGACCGTTCAGTGTCAGTGGTACGGAGAGATGACCGTTCAGTGTCAGTGGTACTGAGAGATGACCGTTCAGTGTCAGTGGTACTGAGAGATGACCGTTCAGTGGCAGTGGTACTGAGAGATGACTGTTCAGTGTCAGTGGTACTGAGAGATGACCATTGAGTGTCAGTGGTACTGAGAGATGACCGTTCAGTGGCAGTGGTACTGAGAGATGACCGTTCAGTGTCAGTGGTACTGAGAGATGACCGTTCAGTGACAGTTGTACTGAGAGATGACCGTTCAGTGACAGTGGTAAACTACTGAATGTAAATTTGCCTAGAAAAACCGTAACAATAAAATAAATACCGGGGCTTGTTCTGCATAACGTCTCCTAAAGGATACGCAACTAACTTTTAAAAATAATAAAGCAGCTGGGTCTAGTGAATCCTCAGCTGCGGGGTCTAGTGCACTTCCTTGGATTGATCACCCCTCTCATTTCATACGATGTGATTACTACATAGAGAAGACGCAATGTAGCCTCAAAGTAAGCGTAAAGTAATCAAAATCAACGGCTGGTAAGAAGCACAATCTATTTTACTTTTACAAGACGATGGGGATGATAATGAATTGCCCCTGACTGCGTTGTATCGTCACTAATAATTAATGAGACTTCCCATTCGTGTGATGATGGATAACTTCAAAGAAATACAGATCGAGAAAAAGTGTTCGTAATAATTCAAAATCCGGTCAAAATGGTCGCTAGGCACGGTCACTGTTTTGAGTCGTGGCAAAGGATATAGTTTCATCGCCCAGCTACTGAGTTGAGTGCAAGGTGCGACCCTGTGAGTTGCGGATTTCATTTGGAATGTTTTTCGACTGTGACCAACGTGGTGTTGGGGACTGTAAATTAGGAAAATAGCGCGCGGCCTGACGTTGCAATATTGGTGCTGCCCTTATGTGATTAAAATTGTTCGCGTGTGCAACTGCTGATTTGTTGGTTACTTCTGCTACCATCGATGACAAAAAGCATTTCTAATGTCGGACTATTTGTGTTAGCACTTCTGATGGCTACCGTATGCTTTTAATGCGTGTGTATGCTAGTGCATATACTGAGACAGCAGTCTGTCAATCACTCCACAAGGGACTGTGGTGAACATTCTGTGTGTTTTTCGTGGCACAGGAGAGGAGCAACTATGGGGTGACCCGTTTGCTATGGAGCTGAAACTAACATTACCTTTACCATGACATAGAATAGGTCTAACAGACATTCTCTTTGTTCTCTACTTTTATGAGAAAAAACAGATCACCCCTCCCCCCACCTTCTTACAAAACGGTGGTGTTCAGCTAGGAACTATTCTGTTGTTTAGCTAGAAACTAGGACACAAACTATTTTGTTGTTTAGCTAGGAACTAGGACACAAACTATTTTGCTGTTCAGCGAGGAACTAGGACCTAAACTATTTTGTTGTTCAGCTAGGAACTAGGACACAAACTATTTTGTTGTTCAGCTAGGAACTAGGACACAAACTATTTTGCTGTTCAGCGAGGAACTAGGACACAAACTATTTTGTTGTTCAGCTAGGAACTAGGACACAAACTATTTTGTTGTTTAGCTAGGAACTAGGACACAAACTATTTTTTGTTCAGCTAGGAACTAGGACACAAACTATTTTGTTGTTCAGCTAGGAACTAGGACACAAACTATTTTGTTGTTTAGCTAGGAACTAGGACACAAACTATTTTGCTGTTCAGCGAGGAACTAGGACCCAAACTATTTTGTTGTTCAGCTAGGAACTAGGACCCAAACTATTTTGTTGTTCAGCTAGGAACTAGGACACAAACTATTTTGTTGTTCAGATAGAAACTAGGACACAAACTATTTTGTTGTTCAGCTAGGAACTAGGACACAAACTATTTTGTTCTTCAGCTAGGAACTAGGACACAAACTATTTTGTTCTTCAGCTAGGAACTAGGACACAAACTATTTTGTTCTTCAGCTAGGAACTAGGACACAAACTATTTTGCAAGTGACCCATTTTTTATATACTACCCAAAACTGACGCCCTCTTTATCCCATCCCAACAATGTACTGTATATTCTAGAGAGAGCCGGAACAAGAATCAATACACCATGTCGCCTGATTCCTTGTTAATCTAAATGAACACATCTAGCACTATATATTGATTGGCTCTTGTCCGTCTTTACAAACAATAGCGTTATATTGTGCTATGAAGAAGCATGGGACCCACAGCCCATGGCGATGGCGAGTGTGACTAGAAAGACCAGCTCTCGTTAAGAAAAGTCTTCCACAATTATAGCATGGCATTTCAGGACCGTTATTGTCAAGATTTGTGTTTAGTCTTTTTTTCTTCTCAAACGCTTAGCTCTCATCCTTTCTGCAGTCATTTCTTACTTTATTCTCATTCTCTTCCTGATGCGCCCCCTCCACACATCACGGTCTATGGCATTGTGTTCCCATGAGTCCACATCAATACCTGTATCTTTCATGTCCCTAATAAATAATATAAACTCTAGATTTGTTTCCTAAACCAATTAGGGCATTGAATGAAGTTCATCATCTCCATAGCACAACGCCTGGACAGCATTGTAGAGACCATATGTTGCCCGTGAATCATGATCCCTCTCTCACCGTGTCTTTTTGGCTCCAAAGAAGAAGTAGGTTTGGAACATAGCAGGCTGAAGCAGAAGAATGCTCAGTCTTCCGCCTGTCAAAGCTTCCCCACTAGATCAGCTGCCAGCCAAGGCTAAGGGCCTAGTGTGTCCTGCCACAACGTAAAGTTTTTAGGTTACATTTCCTCTTCACATGGATAAGGCTAGTATCCTCCCCAGTGTGCTTCTCAGCCAGAATCGGTTGGCACAATATGGGATATCACGTTTGGTAAAGGCCGCCCACCAGTTGACGCTAACAGAAGACAGGTGGTACCGGCTACTGTTATACGGTAGCTTAGTGATATCTGACCAAGACCTGACCTCAATATACATGTATATATGTATGTATATGCATATCGCTTTGTCACATCTATTGATTAGTTGTCATTGAACCCCCACATAAGGAATGTAATATTTACCTCGCCACTGTGTAAGGCTGGGAAATAAAATATTAACCATAGTTGAAAAAGAACACATATTGTTCCTTCGACATGAGACCACATCGACATCGACTGCTCGCTCCTGTGTTTTGCTATCTCATCTGTCTTAATCTCTCTTTCTTCGCGTTCAGTTGTCTCTCCCCGTCTCTCTCTCTCTCTCTCTATCTCATCTGTTTCGTCTTTTTGTCATCTATCGTGTCTATCATATATATATATATATATATATATATATATATATATATATATATACATACACACACACATACATACATACATACATACATACATACATACATACATACATACATACATACATACATACATACATACATACATACATACATACATACATACATACATACATACATACATACATACATACATACATACATACATACATACATACATACATACATACATACATACATACATACATACATACATACATACATACATACATACATACATACATACATACATACATACATACATACATACATACATACATACATACATACATACATACATACATACATACATACATACATACATAGACACACATTTAAAAGCTCATACACGCACAAGCACACATTTATAACTAGCCATATAAATAAACACTTATTATTCCAATAATTTCTCGGCATTAATGTTGACATTTATTTTCACTCACTAAGTGTAGTGCATCAAAACTATTATTACAAAATATTAATGGATGTAAACCTATATAAAAAGGTAACAAATATTTATCTTAATTCAGGTGAAATCTTCGGAAAACGAACTGTCACCTACTGTAAGTTTGAGTCACTTATTATTAACTATGGGGTTTGCTTAGCCAGATTGGTCTAATTTGATTGTTTATTGTTCTATAACACAGATCAGGTTATAAATCTAGTGGTGGCAACTTCTTCCCTTTAATCAAGTCAGCAGCCCTTTCACCAATCATAATTGTAGGGGCGTTTGTGTTACCAGAGACCAGCCATGGCATAATGGAAGCGTCGGCCACACGGAGTCCGGATATCCCTTGTACTCTAGAAACACACAGACACAGAACAAACATGTTAATGAATGCATTCGTTGATGCAACAGTACATAAATTAATTCAATAATTCTATTATAATAGAACATTCCCTCTCTATTTATAATCCTACAACCTATATATATATTTATATATATACACACACACACTGAAAGTATCCATATATGCAGGAGTCGAAATAACACCAGCTACGTCCCCACAGTGCAGCTTGGCCTTCACAAATCTCTAAATCTCGCCTGTGGATCGTCTCGGGTCCTGGCGGAGCTGAATATTTTTGTTTCCTTCAGAAATGACCTTTGCTCCCTGGTCGACAGACTAACATGTATATCAGGCATAGTCATGCGAATTAAAGGCGTCCGGCTTGATGCGGACCATATCCCCTGCGATTATACTATCAAATACAGGTCTAGTCTTATATGCTTAATAAGCCTGAAGGCGTGGGAAAGGGTCCTTTACTGTCTGTCTGTCTGTCTGTCTGTCTGTCTGTCTGTCTGTCTGTCTGTCTGTCTGTCTGTCTGTCTGTCTGTCTGTCTGTCTGTCTGTCTGTCTGTCTGTCTGTCTGTCTGTCTGTCTGTCTGTCTGTCTGTCTGTCTGTCTGTCTGTCTGTCTGTCTGTCTGTCTGACTGTCAGCCGGTCTGTCAGCCGGTCTGTCTGTCTGTCTGTCTGTCTGTCTGTCTGTCTGTCTGTCTGTCTGTCTGTCTGTCTGTCTGTCTGTCTGTCTGTCTGTCTGTCTGTCTGTCTGTCTGTCTGTCTGTCTGTCTGTCTGTCTGTCTGTCTGTCTGTCTGTCTGTCTGTCTGTCTGTCTGTCTGTCTGTCTGTCTGTCTGCCTGCCTGCCTGTCTGTCTGTCTGTGTGCCTGCCTGCCTGCCTGCCTGTCTGTCTGTCTGTCTGTCTGTCTGTCTGTCTGTCTGCCTGTCTGTCTGCCTGCCTGTCTGCATGCCTGTCTTTCTGTCTACATGTCTGTCTGCCTGCTTGTCTGCCTACCTGCCTGTCTGCCTGCCTGTATGTCTGCCATCCTGTCTGTCTGTCTGTCTGTCTGTCTGTCTGTCTGTCTGTCTGTCTGTCTGTCTGTCTGTCTGTCTGTCTGTCTGTCTGTCTGTCTGTCTGTCTGTCTGTCTGTCTGTCTGTCTGTCTGTCTGTCTGTATGAATGCATGTATGTATGTATATATGTGTGGATTTTTATGGTATGAGGGGTCGCAAGTCGACCCAGCCTGAAATGGGTAAAAGGATGTATGTCCTGTGGAGATAAAGACGGCCGGCACAACGCTGACCACATTACCCACCTGGTGCCGACTGGTCTGTAAAAATATAGGTGCTCTCCCTATACGCCTGATACGCCTAAATGCGTAAAAAAGGGATCTGTATGTGTATACATTCCTATACACAAACATACAAACATATAGGCGCACCTTAAGGTTTCCAATCCGCATATAAGCCCGATAAATTGGCTGACACTGCCAGCCTCTTAGAAGATGGTCGCCCTCTTTGGCCTGAATTATTTATACAGCGTCAAAACCTAGTCATAAATCAATGTGCAGTGTATTAGGTGGACATCTTAGTGTCTGGTCGGCCTCGAGGTTCTCCGCTGAACTGGCTGCTAGTTACCTTTTTATCTGTTGCGGTTTCGCTCGCAGAGTGTATATGTTTTGGTTGGCAGTGGGACAGATAGTCAAAAGAAACAATGGCTTCCGGAGACCGAAGTTAAGTCGACATGTTTTACACGTACCTCAACTCAGGATCCACCACAGCCGTTGGATCCCCCTTTGGACCCATCTTACAGGTCCCGATTGGGTGGTAGATGGTCAGAGCTCTGTGTTTAACCAGACACTCCCAGTACTCGTGAGAGTCGTATCTGTGCTGCTTGCAGGCGGACTCTGGTCCCTTCTCCGTGAACTCAGCGCCCACATCTTGCAGAGGTTTAGCGTTGACAATCTTCTTACACTCTTGAATACCTGGGGAAACAGAGAATTGATATGTTTACCGACATAGTTGTCGGAACTCGAGGGAATTAAGTCAGCTGAGAGAGAGCTAACTGAGCACCCCCTCTACCAGTAATGTAATGTCCCAGAGGCTCTCTTTAACGATGTATATAAGTTCTCCGTAAAATTAGTTAAAAAAAAATACATTTTGTATTATTTCAAGGATAATATTATATTTATTTGCCACTCAGAGTATAAAAACTAATCATTATTATGTGTTGAATGATAAATAAATATAATGATATACTTGGAAGGTTGCGGCGTCCGTGGCTTAGGCGTTGCGAGTCCGAAACGTAATCCAGCGTACCGCGATCGACCCAGCCTAAAAAGGGTACCAGGATGGGCTGTCCTGGGGAAGTAAAGACTGCCGGCGTAATGCTGACCACATTACCCACCGAATGCCGATTGGTCTGTAAAAATATGGGTGCTCTTCCCATATGCCCGAATACGCCTAAAGGGGTGGAAAGGGATCTTTCCTTTTTTGTTTTTACTTGGAAGGTTGGCGCCAGAACCTGAGTAGTCAGGCAACTTAGGCAGCTAAAAAAAAAAAAAAGGGAAGAAAAATTGTACATTTGGTATCCCCACCCCAAAAAGGTTTTAGGGAGCATCCATGACCTATTATTGCCACATTATTGCAATAACTGCTAAGTTATTTACTGGTTATAGTTCTTTAGACAATTAGTAGTAATTGTTTACTGGATATAGTTTGGAAATTTACTAGAAACAATTTCTGCTACATTAGTTGCTGGTTATAGTTAGAACATCTACAAGACACAATTTCTGCTACATTGTTTGCTGGTTATAGTTAGAACATCTACAAGACACAATTTCTGCTACATTAGTTGCTGGTTATAGTTAGAACATCTACAAGACACAATTTCTGCTACATTGGTTGCTGGTTATAGTTAGAACATCTACAAGACACAATTTCTGCTACATTAGTTGCTGGTTATAGTTAGAACATCTACAAGACACAATTTCTGCTACATTGGTTGCTGGTTATAGTTAGAACATCTACAAGACACAATTTCTGCTACATTAGTTGCTGGTTATAGTTAGAACATCTACAAGACACAATTTCTGCTACATTGGTTGCTGGTTATAGTTAGAACATCTACAAGACACAATTTCTGCTACATTAGTTGCTGGTTATAGTTAGAACATCTACAAGACACAATTTCTGCTACATTGGTTGCTGGTTATAGTTAGAACATGTACAAGACACAATTTCTGCTACATTGGTTGCTGGTTATAGTTGTTTGGACATTTCATCATCGTCACATCCTAATGTGCGCTTATACGTCGTATGGGGTTCATTCAATTCTGTCCTCTGTGATCCTTTCGATATCAAGGATGGAGACTAATCATGAACATTTGGCCCCTCTCAGATACGTTGTCTGCGACGTACTCATCTTCTAGATTCAGTTACAGCCATAATGATCACAGGGTATAGTTCTTTAGACATTTACTATAGTCCGTTCCAGAAGTCCTGCCCACATTTAAAATTCTGTAACGCAGCAACCGTTCGGTCTAAGTTGTTGGAAATTGGCATGCAACCTGTTAATAATAATGTACTTTTTATTTTTCAATGTAAGCAATCATCTAGTTTTCATGTTGCCTTATTAGTGGTGAATTAAAGAATAAAGACACTGATTCAATGCAAACAATTAGCGTGCTTACAGTAACTTGAGCAGACTGAGTAAGAGGAACATTTCAGATCGTCAAATTGCATGTGTTTCAAAGGGGTTTCACTCTCAGCGGTCATCTCCACCAATAGTCTTCTGTGAGTTGAGGATTTTTTATTGTATGCGAAATAGGCTATCAAAAATAATCATCAACGCTTGCTGCATATGTGAACTGATTTCCACATGTGTGTCAGTTACTGTACACTTTCTTTTTTATAAATACATAAATTATGAGTCAAAGATCAAATTGATTCCATGTTTTGAGAAAACAGCAACACCTGTGCAACTGTAATCAAAACAAAAAAAAAAACCCAAAAAAAAAAATGATGAAAAAAATCACAAGAACACTTTGGAAATGTAAAAGCACATGCAAAGATTGGCTCTGGTCTGTACAGGAGTTTTCCAGATGTTTGTTAAAGTGTGAGGCATAAGTTTTGAAAGGCACTATGGACATAATTATGGCTACATTGTATGTGTGTTATAGTTTTTTGAACATCTACTAAACACATTTACTTGTGATGGCTTTACTCTTTTAATCCAAGACAGACATCCCTTTAGCTCGCTATATCTGACACATTTTTGAACTTAAAATATAACTATTCTGTGTTTAAATAGGTTTAAAAAAACATTAGAACCATGTGTTAACATAAACACTAGGATAGAATGTGGTAAAACACCGGCTAGATTAGAAATTCTAAAAAAAAAAAAAAAAAAAAAAAAAGAGTTAGTTGCATTTCCTTTAAAGAACGTTGCAGAACCAACCCCGTAATTGTTTTAAACATTGTGATTTCAATAGGCAAATTTTACGTTTAAAAAATTTCCCACTGCTTTGTGAACGGTCGGCTCTCGATACCACTGTCGAAGTATCACATTTTATGCTAAATTAGTACCTTATGTCCCTGAAAACGTAAATTTGGGTTCAAAACTTCGGCTATTTTTGTTCGCATTTTCCCAAATTCCTTCCGTTGAAGTATCTAGTCACACGTTGATCCCCTCCTACCCTGTTTGTTTTCCAAGCCCTACATATTAGCTGAACCATCCTTACACTTGTCCCACTCTTGTCCTCAGCTTTACATTTTTGCCACATCGATTCGTCTGTCTACTTATCTAACCTCTATATGCCATATCTTCCTCCTCCTCTTTCGATCCTCCCACTCTCTTTCTCTATCACCACTTTTTTTCTCTCTACCCCTCACCCTCTCACATATTTCTCTCCTTCCATCCATTCATCTCTCCTTCCCCTCATCCAACTCGATTTTTCAATTTCGCTAACCCGAAAGAGTTCAGTGTAATAAGACACATATTGTAAACAATACCGACCTCGTATCAAAACTTCTCTATCTTCCTGGGCCGCTAGATAGTTAGCGTAGATCAGAGGATAGTCAAACGGGTCTGCAGATTTTAGACTGATGTTTCCGATGCTCTCTGGTCTCATGATGGAGGGCAGGCAAGTGAAGCCGTAGTCTCCCCTGTTTCTGTCCGCTAGTTCCGCCTTGGTCTAAGTAAACAAGTACGCATATTCACTCTCAAGGAAGTTGGACATATTAACATGAAAGGATCAAAGCGAGTGTACGCGTACAATCAATAAACATAGTTCATTTAGTCAATGCTTTAGGGACTAGACTGGTGGATAACAACACAGCTCTGACACAGACTCGATTAAGTGATTTTGGAGTAATCCATGGCCACCCATGCTGTCCTTGAGGGTAGGTTGAAGATATAAACAAACGTCTCACTGAAACAGTCAATAGAGATACTTAAGGCGGACTATTGCAATAATGAACTAAGCTCGTCTTGGGTATTTCACTACGTCACTATTTAGTCAATAAACCAAACTCTTTCTCGTAGTGTTTTTTTCAGGAAAGTCCCCGCCAAGACTAGTCTAGAAATCCTGTCATTATATCGCTCAGCAGGGCCATTATCGGCACTCGAGAAGACGAGAAGGTTGCGGCAGGTCTGCCAGATCAGGGGGAGTACCACACCAAAGGGGGCCTGGTAGGTAACCTCCTTAGAGAGCCGCGAAGGACACAGGCAAAAAGTACTCAGTATAAAAGTAAGAAGCACTATTATTACATGAAATAGCTAAGTAAAAGATATTCTACAGAACTATCAAAAAAGAAATCAAAAAGCACCATCACATTTTGTACCAGTCTGAGCAACCAAGCACGCAACAGTCTGAAATTCTAAATGGTCTTCTTCATAAGCACTGTAGAAGTATGAGCTCATCTATTCCTTGTGCCCGTATTGGAGAGGGAGGGGTCATAGGGACTTTCCATCTGGACCTGTTTTTATTGTGTTTGAATACTGTCGTGTCAGAGATGTTTTATTTAAAATAAAAGGTTGTAAGGTCCACCTAGACTAAACTGTATACCAGAAAATAGCCTGGTATTCTGACCTAATATTGACCATATCAGGCACACAGCGTTGATAATAATATTACACCAGCACCGTATAATCACATGACGGATCTGTAGTATAGAGCCACCACTTCTCGTGGCTTCTTGGAGAGGAAAAGATTGTCACACGAAAATGGACCCTTTCAGGACCAACAGACAAGAACAATGGAAACCGAAAACCAGCGACAGACAACAGGATTCACGACCACAATTAAAACCTAGGCTGAGCTCAGCAGGTTGAACGTAGTCTAAATTATATTCCTTATTTTAAATATTGAATCTTATGGAAACCGAATCAACACGTTAGATATTACTTCTACCTAATCCCCTGTGTGGGTTCCGGGGCCCCATTGTGGGGAAAACAAGAATAGACTCACTGCCTCCCCAAAAGCATGTTGTAAGAGTCAACTAATTGGGGAGCTTCCTTTGAAGAAGGAGTGCGTCTGCCGGAGAGGCAAGGAACCAACAGTCTGTATTCAAGAGAATGAGATCTGTAAAACTGATGCACACGCAACACTCAGGTTCTGGAGCAGGACTGCAGTTCAGTAGTAGACGAGCAACCAGAACCTTCCGCCAGAGTTTACAGCTGGTGAACGCGAAGAAGAAGAAGAAGACTTCTACCTAATGGAAGGTGTAAAGTAATTAGACACAGTGAAGTAAAATTTAATAGCAAGTACACACAATGAGCTAACACGGGCAGATAGGGACAGGATATAAAATATTACCTGTTTTAGTTAATCAAGGTTGGTGATCTTTGTATCTACAATGTAACTTCAGTGCCAGTGACAAGATGCTTTTATTGATCTTAACATTTTGGGTAGGAGGGTTTGAAGGACTTACCTCTTCGGCGTAGTTAAAGATATCCATAAGAATATTGTTTGGCATTATCTCAATAAAATGTATCTCCAGGTCAGGCCAGTCCTTCTCTTTTGTCTCCTTGGTTGTACTTTTAAAAGCCAGCACTTCTAGATTGAAAGGGGAGCTCAGGGGACCTAGGTAAATGACATAAAGTAAATCGGCTAGAGTGTTTACAAGCCAAACATAAACTATACTGCTCTAAAAGTGTGAAACATGGACTGTCAACATGAAAACATTAAACGTACCTAGACGATTTAAAATTTAGCATAATGGTTCAAGAGCGAAGGCATAATCCAAGACTAGTGGTTGTTAAATCAGAATACGAAACCACACGTGGACTTCGTTTTCTCCCTTTATCCCTCAATGGAACAGAGACTTCAAACCCCCACACCAAATTGCTCTGTCCGCTGCCATCGCATGCAAGCAGCCTATTCAAAAATTCACTATATTTTCCACATGTCACACGTTTCATTTTCCTTGTGATATTTAGTGAGCCTTTATTCATTTGATCTTGTTGGTTCATGAAGAAAGATAATCTATTTACCTCATCATGTATTCCAACGCCAACGTCTATTCACGACTTTCTAATTCACTAGAACTTCGTTTCGTTTTTGCACAAAGCTCCACATAATGATTCTGTAACACTGTTTAAATCTCTCTTTTTGCACAGTTTTCAGTTAATGCATGTTTGTAGAATTAGAACTTGCTTTAGTTGTTCTCCATCTTTTAACTTCACGTAACAGTTCTGATTTGACATTACAGCTAAATATGTTCAATTTGGTAAGTAGAGTAAAGCAACGTTCCAGTTCCCAGTAATAGGTATGTTTTTGTAGACCAGTTAGCACTGAAGGCGATGTATTCAACATCCCGGCTGCCACCTTTCCTCCACAGGACTTTACCTGGTGGCCACTTAAGGCTAGGTACACATGGCAGCCAAGATCAGTTCTAAAAAAAAACACACACACACAAAAAAAAAACCTAACTAAATATGAATTCGAAACCTCCCCGTGTGGGTTCTGGGAACCCAATGTGGGAAAAACAAGAATAGACTCACTGCCTTCACAACAAGAATGTCAAAGGAGTCAACAAATTGGGGACTTCATTTGAAGTCGGAGTGCATCTACCCAAGCAGCAATGAAAAACTTACTGCACACAAATAAGCCAGTGAAACGGATGTACACGCACAATTCAGGCCCTGGCACACAGCCAAACTTCAAACTGATGAACAACAAGGACTTTCCAATGAAAGCTTACAGTAGATGAACAAAGAAGAAGAAGGATTCGAACACAAGGCCTTCGGGCTGGAAGGCGAATGTCTAGCCGCTACGAAACCTAGGCTCCCTTTGAGTTTGGTCCTAGTTTTAATTTTCTTTGACTGCCATAGATTTCCAGTGCTATGAAAAATCATCTTGTCCTTTTAATCGCACTTGTATATCTCTGACAGTTCCCCCATCCTTATTTACATTACAGCCCAGAGAGGTTTATTACTGTCTCTCCATCTAAAGTAAATTGCAAGCAAAAAACTCTCTCTCTCTCTCTCTCTCTCTCTCTCTCTCTCTCTCTCTCTCTTTTGTTGAACGCATCCAGGACATCACACAAGCGATAAACACCCGGTGACACAAAGTGCCACCATGCGGATGAGGATCACCCGTGGAAAGGTCCAAAAAAAAAAACTTTTTAGGCGTCAGACCATATTTATGGCCGGGCTATATTCAGGGTCCCCTGTAAAAGCTAGGGTGGGACTTCAATTAACAAAAAATTACCTCCCAAATGGGGGCAACCAATTGCAAGCGAAAATCGATGTACACTAGAGCAGAAATGAGTTAAGTTAATGTGCGAAACCACATCTGGAATAATGAATAAACTCTTCTTGTTTTGTATGATATAGTACCTGTGCCAAACCACTTGAACTGCTGCTGACTCCACCAGTTCTTGAAATCCTGCCAAGCAGAGGTTAGAGGCTCTCTGATCCTGACACCCATGTCGAAAAACATATGATCCTGAAGATTCTGCCCAACTGGAAGATCTACCACTACTGGGATCTAAAAAAAAAAACATATGTAAAATATTTATATCAGTGAACACGCTCGCGCGCACACATGCACACACAGACATACAGACACACACACACACACACACACACCACCAACCCACACACCCACCTATCCCCCACACGCACACAAACACACACACATACATACAGAAACACACCTACACACGCACACTCATTCTATTGCATTTCATTTGTGCAGGAGCATATGTTGTGCTTTGGTTTGGCATAAATTAGTGAAATGTGTACTTAGGTGATAAATTGCTATAACTACATTACTCCATAAATTATCTCGGTAAAAATAATACTATTTTACTAGTTCGCCCATGTACAGTCTAGCTGGTGTGTTAGTGTCAATCATCAGCTTCACGACAGAGAGTGAGAGAGGAATTGGGAAAGGCAGAGAGAGTGACTGAGAGAGAAGGTGGGAGAGAGAGAGCATACTGTTGTTTATCATCCGACAAGGTAATTTGTGTTCTAGTCACTGATGGCAGTAGTACTTCTAGTAACCAACAAACTCTTGTCTGCCAAACTAGCTAGGGGTAAAGCATAAACACATAGGTAATTTAAATTACACGCCATTTTCGTCTGGAGCACCTTCTCATAGTTAAAACAAATGTTATAACGCTATTGCATCAAAAGTAGCTATATTCTTCTTATTTTTACAGTCCGTACTAGGTGGCTTTGTTGCTCACGCTTATGACCCGCAATCTGACTTGTGTACTTTTAATCATTTTTGACACAAATTTTCCAACATAAGATAATGCCAGACTGTCCGTCACCTTCTCTCTTGGTCTCCCTCTGCCCCCCCCCCCCCCCCCTCAGCTGTCCCACAGTCACAATGTACTCTAGTTCTCCTCTCCACAAAATGTACAAGAGATTGTAAACTTTTTCTGGCGCCGGTAATCAATTTGTTTATGATTTCATTGGGTTCACTCTATCTTCGTTACGCGTTTTATCTACTCAATGTGTTCTTTTCATTCTTCCAGAAAATTATACCCTTGCGTCTTCAGTATTCATTTGGAATAATCGGCTGATTGTCCATAATTAACTTTCGTTTTTTCAGAACTGACACCATATTAATATTAAAAGCATTATTTCCTACTTCAGTAAAATACAGGGATTCAACGATATGGTTAGGATACTTCAAGGGTGTTCTTACTGTTCTGTTACTCACTGATTGAAAACATCTGTGGAAACTTTCGAATTTTCTACCGAAATTCCCAGTCATAGGCCGTATTCAGCGATATAATCCCAAAGAATCAAGAATATCAGGTTTAACAATTCTGTGATAATTTTAATGATTTGTAACATTTATTTATGAAGTTAGTTTGGAAATTAGTCGAGTTCTTTTAATTTGTCACAGTGTACATAATCGTAGAAAGAAAACCTGACTATAATGTTTACTAATTAATAATCCAATGCACGAGTTGCATGCCAAGTTGTATCAAAATGTGAGAACATATTGATACAATCATTATACTTCCATTAAAATGTAGGAACTGCAAATATTTGTCAAATGTGTATAACGAAGTAAACTTAAATTGACTAACCTTTAAACTTTCCAGATGTTTCTTGGGCCCGATACCAGACAACATGAGTATCTGTGGGGAATTGACAGCTCCTGCGGACAGGATGATCTCTTTGTTGGCGTTAACCACACATTTCCTTCCATCTTTTATTACTTCAACACCCACTGCTTTCTTGTTTTTGATGACAATCTGGAATGAAAAAATTGATTACTCATGACATTTCCTTCCATCTTTTATTACTTCAACACCCACTGCTTTCTTGTTTTTGATGACAATCTGGAATGAGAAAATTGATTACTCATAACATGTATGCACATACTGTTGTCAGTAAGGAGATGATGTGGTAAATACAGTGAGGTTACAGAAATTATGTTAACTAACAAATAAATAAAATAAAACTGAAAATGCAAAAGGCGAATTTAATTGTATATATGTTACAGAAATCTGAATATCTATAGATTTGTACTGATGCAGTTTCTCTCTCTCTCTCTCTCTCTCTCTCTCTCTCTCTCTCTCTCTCTCTCTCTCTCTCTCTCTCTCTCTCTCTGGTTTTATAGAATAATAATAACTCGTGGTAGGCTAAAGAAATTAGAAAGCATAATGAAGATGTCTTGACTTGAAAAGCGTTAACCCAAAAAGAGAAAGATTATACTCATAAGAAGATACACGGTTCTTTCAACTAGCTCGTGGTGAGAATGGAAACTGGTATACTTTGTGACAAGTGGAAAGTTGGGTGGCAACAGGAAACGGAAGGAGATCAAATGAGATGCTCATTTGTTTAGCTTAACGTCATAGAAGAACATCTATGTCAGAAGTGATTGCATGTAGGCGACTGAGAGGGATGTAGACAGAATGACTTTCAATGTCCCACGGGATGGACTATAAAATGATGTTGAGTTGGACATAGATTTATATGCTTTTTCCTTTTTTTTTTTCAAGTGTAAAAAGTGTTTACAAATATTATTTATGAGTTCCCAAAATCTTGCTCTTCAGAAAGGTTTGTGTGCTTATATGCGACAAAGAATGTCTTCAGTTTTTGTAAGCTAAAATTCGAAATCGTCACGTTTTCGACAGCATATATTGGAAAGTACATTTCATAATAGGGGATTCGGGACTGCATCTCGTTAAAGTGGCACCACTGAACAGCCGATAGCTAAGACAGCTCTATGGTCGAACATTATTAAACCCACACTGATGGCAGTGTTGTCAGTCACTGGCGAAACTGGTTGTTGTCTGGCAGACCACGCCATCTTATTATGATTGTGTTACAGATTTATGATACTGTCATGTTTTTTGGTAGAATGCTGTACAATAGTCCTGATATTTCTTTTCAAATGTGCATTTTCTCGGCAACTGTTTGTGTGAGAGACTTCATGGTCTTATCGGTTTTTTTTAATGCTTGTGAAATTGAGCTTATAGCGAACATATTTGTGATTTTGTGGCCATTTATTCTAAACAAAAAGGCAGATCAGTTTTCAAATTCATGCACGTTAGGCAACTAGAATTATTACAGTCATCAGAGGTGGCTGTTAAAACTGAATTTGTCAGTGCTGTAGCATAAACACGTTGTGTACATTCCAATAGTGGGCGCAGTGTCAGTAGTATACGAGAGTTATTTCAATGGGTTAGATTTTCTTTCATATTTGTCACAAACAGTTTAAAAAAAAAAAAAATTGCTGCTTAGACAAACAAATACTTGACATGACTAACTTTTGTAACTTGTGCTCGCACTGCCACATCCAAGTTAGGTCTGCCCAGAACTGGATGAATAAATGCTCTACCGGTGCTCATACGTTCACCATTTAAAGAGTTCACTTGAGAATTGCAGATGCCTGTGGTTAAAAAAAAAAGGTAAACTAATAAGAACTCCCCCCCCCCCACCTTCCCTTCCTCCCGTTCTCCCAACTCTATACTGCCAGTGTCAGACATAGACAACTAATGAGTACTCTCCCCTCCCCTCCCTTCCTCCCGTTCTCCCAACTCTATACTGCCAGTGTCAGACATAGACAACTAATGAGTACTCTCCCCTCCCCTCCCTTCCTCCCGTTCTCCCAACTCTATACTGCCAGTGTCAGACATAGACAACTAATGAGAACTCTCCCCTCCCCTCCCTTCCTCCCGTTTCTCCCAACTCTATACTGCCAGTGTCAGACATAGACAACTAATGAGAACTCTCCCTCCCCTCCCTTCCTCCCGTTTCTCCCAACTCTATACTGCCAGTGTCAGACATAGACAACTAATGAGAACTCTCCCCTCCCCTCCCTTCCTCCCGTTCTCCCAAGTCTATACTGCCAGTGTCAGACATAGACGAACTAATGAGAACTCTCCCCCTCCCCCCCCCCCACCTTCCCTTTCTCCCGTTCTCCCAACTCTATACTGCCAGTGTCAGACATAGACAACTAATGAGTACTCTCCCCTCCCCTCCCTTCCTCCCGTTCTCCCAACTCTATACTGCCAGTGTCAGACATAGACAACTAATGAGTACTCTCCCCTCCCCTCCCTTCCTCCCGTTCTCCCAACTCTATACTGCCAGTGTCAGACATAGACAACTAATGAGTACTCTCCCCTCCCCTCCCTTCCTCCCGTTCTCCCAACTCTATACTGCCAGTGTCAGACATAGACAACTAATGAGAACTCTCCCCCCCCCCCCCCCCCACCTTCCTTCCTCCCGTTTCTCCCAACTCTATACTGCCAGTGTCAGACATAGACAACTAATGAGTACTCTCCCCTCCCCTCCCTTCCTCCCGTTCTCCCAACTCTATACTGCCAGTGTCAGACATAGACAACTAATGAGAACTCTCCCCCCCCCCCCCCCCACCTTCCCTTCCTCCCGTTCTCCCAACTCTATACTGCCAGTGTCAGACATAGACAACTAATGAGTACAGAATCAAAACAGCAGGGATGCAATGTCTTAGAAGGGCTGTCGGAGTAACCAGAATAGTAAAGTCAAACAAGAAGTAATTAGAAGGTGACTATGTTTGAAACCAGGGATACACTGCATTTTAGAGAAAAGGGTAAAATGGTTTGACCATGTGACGAGAATATTCTGGCTGGAACTGCGACAGAGAGTCAAGCTGAGATGAAATGTATTGAACACAAAACAAAAAGAAAACTACTGGAAATAAAATGAAGCGACGGTTTAAAGAACAGCATTGAAGAAGTGGCGATCAACAAATACAACGAAGTAGGAAAAGCAAATATAAAGATTTTCGATGATTATAATTCTAACTTTAACATACTGTTAATACCCAAAAGAGTTCACGGTGTTTACAGGCATAAAACGGTTAGGTGTATTAGCGAGGATACTCTAGATCAGTGTTTCAAGAACCGTTTTGGCCTACCGCCCCCTTTTTTTTCAGTACAAAACATCTTACAGCCTTCCCCTATCCTCTTTTCTCCCTGGAAATAAAATCACCATTATGTTTCACACCGAAAAGCATAGGCTGTCATTCTACAGGGATCAAGCAGAACCAGGGGTCAGATGGTGGTGCTTTAAAACAATTGATGCTGAACTGTTTAGAGTGTCAGATGGCGCTTTTCCCGTATGTGAATTTGACAGGGCTTTTAAAAAAAAAAATACAATCTGGAAATAAAATATGCCATGTCCTTCAACATCTGCTAAAGTCAGAGTCTCTATCTCGCAACATTAAGATCGAAATATATAAAACGTTGATAAGACCAGTCGTTTTATATCACAAAAAGAGATGAAATCTTATTCAAATTTTCGGAAAAGGATGTCTTACGACGAATCTTGGGACGAAATTAAACGACGAAATTAATAGTCTGTTTAAATCACCATTGATCACCTGCATAATGAGAGCTAATAGACCGAAATGGTTGGGGCATATTGAGAGAATGTCTGATGACAAAGAGGTAACGACTGTATTTTAACACATATTCATTTGTTCTCTCTCTCTCTCTCTCTCTCTCTCCTCTCTCTCTCTCTCTCGATGGTTAAAAAAAATAAGTTAGTTGCATATCCTTTACAGGACATTACAGAACCAACCCCAGCCTTGTGTGGCTATTGTGGTTTTTCTAGGCAAATAGCTGAATAGTCATAGATCACGAGGCAGACCAAGAAGACGATGGAGAGATAATATCCAGACAGACCTATAAACACTTGGTGTCAGCAACTGGAAAGAAAAGGCCAACCAGAGTGATGAATGATGCTGATATCTGCAGCAATGAACCCCAAGGGCTAGTAATGCTGAAAAAGACGAAGAAGAAGAAGATGTAGAAGAAGAAGAAGAAGAAGAGAAATAAAGCGAGAGAGAGAGAGAGAGAGAGAGAGAGAGAGAGAGAGAGAGAGAGAGAGAGAGAGAGAGAACGCCAGAGAGATTTGTGACCTATATTATGAATACAATACATATTACCAGTGATATTCTATTGTCAATAAAAGCCATATGACACACCTTCCATTGTTCTTCCATTGTAGTCCTCGTTGTAAGGAAATCCTGCAGCCTGACCGGCCTGGATTATCTTGGCGCTGAGTGGTTGTGATTTCAGGTGGTTGATAGTGAAGGGCCCGCCCTGACCGTGATATGCTGCACAGATTGATTACAGACATCATAAATGCACACTCTGCCACACAATAATAATACACTTGTTGATACTGCTCCTGCTGCTGCTACTACTATTACTACTACTACTACTACTACTTCTACTACCACCACGACTACCATTAATAGAACCACCATTGCTGCTGCTACTACTACTACTACCACGACTGCGACTAATAGCACCACCACCACTGCTGCTTCTACTACTACTACTGCCATCACTGCTGCTACTACTACTATTACCACCACCACTACTACTACCACCACCTACACAACAACTACTACTGCTACTACTATCACTTGCGTGCTGCTCGATTTCGGCATTCGCTTAAGGAAATATTTTCACTAATGTCCAGCCCACACCACTGCAGTTTTTGAAAAAAACAATACGGCAATGATACTTCGGTTTGGAGACTAGTGTTGTTCCTGTGCCAGTTGTTTTGCACATTAAGATCTTACATATTATCAGTTTATTCCCTCTGATTGATTCACATTTTTTCACCAGTTAATTTTGGCATAACATTCAAACATCAGTTTTCTTTACTAGTGATTATCACATGGTCCTTAGCTCGAGTCTGTCAAGTTGTTCATTCTTTTAGTTCTTTTTGTAACATTAAATAGCAGCCCAGAGTTGTGCATTAATTACGTAGATAGTCTTTCCCGAAGTTAACATCGATCTAGAGATCAATACAAGGATATCCAAAGCCAGCAGCGCATTTAGTAGACTTCGTACACAGATCTGGAATAAGCTGGCATCAGCCTACAGAAAACACTCAAAGTGTCCAAAGCTGTCGTACTTCATGTACTTCTCTGTGCATGTGAAACAGCGCTATGTTAAAAAGCTGAACCATTTTCACACAGCATGCCTCAAAAAGTTACTGAACATAAAATTGGAAGACAGGATCCCTGACACGGAAGTCCTTAATAGAGCTGGACTGTGCAGTATTTACTGGATTCTAAAACAATCACAACTTAGCTGGGCAGGTCATATAGTACGCATGTCTTAACACCGACTGCCTAATTTTTTTTTTTAAAGGTGAGCTACTAAAAGGAAAACGCTGTCAAGGTGGACATAGGAAACGTTTCAAATCAGTCTCAAGACCTCACTGAAAGACTTCTGTATTGATCTTACAACCTGGATAGTCGCTGCATGTGACCGCTCATCCTGGCGCCCTTCTCTTTATCGAGGAGCTGTGGCACATGAAGCTGCAAGAACGACAGCAGCAATTCATAAAAGACAAGCCAGGGTAGACACTGAAGCAAATCACTGCTCAAGAACTTTCAGTGCTAGAATTGGCCTTATCAGCCACCTGTGCACTCACATAACCTAATCCAGTCACCAATGGATGAAAGAACTGGTCATCATCACCTGTGATAGAAAAACAACAACAGTCTGTTCTCATAGTTACGTTTGCTAGAGTTATGTCTTTTTTATCTATTATCTAGAAGAAGTGCAGTTAAGATTTTCCATTCAGCGAGTTAATTTATGAATTATGAAACATCTAGAGACATAAAGGGCAATCTCATAACAGTTTCAAAAATGTGATGAAGAAAACAAGGACATCGAAAAGAACTATTACTGCAAATAAGCAACGGTAAATAATTAATTAAAGACAACGAAAATTAACCCTAGTATTTAAAGAAGGTGAGTAAACGTGGAGGATTTCACATCACCCAGAAACTATGCATAAACAGTAGATAAAGCTGATCTTAATGTTTCCGGGGCAAAAAAAATACAAAACGGCGAATTGAAAAAAAAAAAATTTGCATGACTGTACGTGAATTCTGTAGTCCTGGGATCTGGATGTCCTCAGACTTCTTGAAGTAAGGCAGGACGTGCTGATAGCTCCAGCCCTCGTCTTTGGTGTACTCAGCCCAGCGATCATAATCGTGTCGGGAAGCTCTCACGTACTGCATGGCATTGAGACTGCTGGAACCTCCGAGGATTTTACCCCGTGGCCAATAGGAACGCTGGAAGATAATAACACAAAAGCATGGGGTGTACATTTAATGTTGTAGACTTTTAAAAAAAATGAATTATTAGTGCACCTGAATTCAATCACGTCCGATGGAAAACTGGGCAGAGAAATAGGCTAGAGATGTGCCAAAACTAATCAAGTAAAGGGGCAACTATCTCTCATGTTGACACACAAGCAGATACCAAGGAGTACTAAAGTGAATCTTATCATAACTAATTGTTGGCCAACATTATGCTATCAGTGCCAGAAGTGGACACTTATTTAAGAAGAGCTGCAGGAGTTTCAAGGAAAGACAGAATACGTAAT